TCTCTCTTTTGCAGGGCAGGCAATTGTTGATAACTGGTTTGCACATTTTCCAGGTAAAATTGTCAGTCATATTCCAAAATATAAAAATGTGAGATTTCATGGGTCATATTTTTTCTGGAGGAATGATCTGCTATTGATTTAGATGCAAATAAAATTCAGGTCCTCAATAAAAATGATTGATTATTGGCACATATGAATGTATTATTATTTAAAAAATTGGACAATTTTATTTCAGGTTTTTGACAGAAAATGTAACCTTAAACTATCTGATGCTCTTCTCTCATTAAAAATACTTTCTAAAATAAAGTTTATTGAATAACCCTTATTGTTATAATTTTGATTATGGTTATCACTAGATTATGGGACTGTCATATTCAATATTGTCATTGACATTTTCTATTAGGAGTTTTCATTTTTTTCCACTTGATGTGTATCCCTTATTTAATCCTACTCCTCCCACTCCCCAAACTCATTACAAAAAGGGCTTGATTTTCCCTCTTTGCACCCCTGATAACCATGTGTTTATGTATGTAACTTGCAATCTACACCACTGAAATGTGAAGTTAAATAAAGAACAACAGGTCTAATGTCAAAGAGACTGATAACATGTGTTTCCTTACTCAGAGCACTGGATGCTGGGCTATTACCCCACTCTTCAAGGTCTGCAGATCAGCAGCAGAAGCACCTGGAAATTCATCAGAAATGAAGACTCCCAGACTTCGTACCAATCCTGCTGAACTGAAACTTGGGGTTTAACAAGACACTGAGGCAATTTGGATGAGCATTAAAATTTGAGAAATCCTGTATCGGTGGTGTCCTGCAGTGGGCAGCAGCATTGGACCAGATTCTTTCAGTTTGAATAGTTTTGCTCTTCCTTCTTCCTGTAACTCTGAAATAGCTCCCACTACTTCCCGTTTTAAATCTATCATATCAATTCTTTGAGTGTTTGATCCTTTCAATAATATGTCTTTTTGCTTTAGATAGAACCTATTCCTATTACTTGCAACTGAGAAAATACTGGATGATGCTTAGGTTATTGTAATTTTCTTTTAAATACATCTTTGATATTTCTAAATTTTCTACAATGTTTATTTCCTATTTTATACTCAGTAAAACAAAAAGTTATTTAAAATATATGTGTGCTTGAAACCAGGAGCCATGAATTTATATCACAGGGCTTTTGTCTTTTTTACTTAAAAGAATCTTTATAAAAACTACATTGTATTTTTGTGTTATGCCCTCTGCCCAGACTAAAAGATAAATCAAAAGCAGCTGCATAACATTTATTATTGTTTTTGAAAGGATGTTTTTGAGGATGCTGTTCATGAATCTCATAGACTCTCCTTTCTAAGGACACACTGGAAAAATTTCTCTCATGCTTCTATGCCAAGAAAAGCTAACCATTATCTCAAAACTAGTGTTTTATAGTCAAGTAAAATTGTGGATCCTAGAAGTCAATGCGTTCTACAATTTCTCAATCTTTAGAAATATTTGGAGGGGCTGGTGCTATGGCGTAATGGGTAAAGCTGCCGCCTGCAATGCTGGCATCCCATATGGGTGCTGGTTCGAGTCCACTTCCTATCCAGCTCTCTGCTATGGCCTGGGAAAGCAGTAGAAGATGGCCCAAGTCTTGGGACCCCTGAATCCACGTGGGAGACCTGAAAGAAGCTCCTGGCTCCTGGCTTCAGATTGGCGCATCTCCCACCGTTGCGGTCAATTGGGGAGTGAACCATCAGATGGAAGACCTCTCTCTATCTCTCTGCCTCTCCTTCTCTCTCTGTGTGACTCTGACTTTCAAATAAATAATAAATCTTTTTTAAAAAAGAAATATTTGGGCTGCTTGGTAAACTAGATTTATGACACATTAAGTCAGAACAAACAGGGGAGGGTCCTGGTGATTTTCATGAACTACTGCTTCTTTCTGTCCTTTCAGTGGTTTGAATTCTCAGTGCACTTTAGCCTTACCTAGGAAGTTTCTAGAACTCACATACCTGAGCCCCAAGCCAATTCACTTATATCAGACTCACTGAGGATGGAATTTTAAAAGCAAAAGAACTGATAATCATAATATGTGTTCAAGCTTCAAAGACACTATTTTGGCTGAATTTGTGGCCCACTCAATTTACTTATCCAAACAGCATACATTTTAAAATTATTTATCCCATGGATTCATTGTACTATTACTCCACTTTTCGCCTTTTATTTTGAGAATGTATTTACTTATTCCTATTTAATCATGGGAAGTGAAAAAAATTAATGAATGAATGTACTGAGCAACCAAAACCAAGGATCTTTCTGTCACATACACAGAATGTTAGGTATGAAAACAACCACTTTTTCCAAGAAATTTCTCTCCTGACAGTTCTCTAATAATCCAGCATTAATTGTAGAGGGTTAGGGCAATCTGCCAACTAATAGAGGCAGAAGCCTAAACAAAATTGTGCCTGTAATGAGAACTGGGTGTCCAGGGCAGGGTCTGGAAACTGGAATGAGAGAAAGAAAGGCAAGAACAGGGATGCAGGACAGAGAGCATCTTTTTGTTGAAATAGCCAGATCTTACTCTTCATGGGGAAAAACTGACAGTGTTACCACCTGACCTCTGGATTCCCACGATGATGCTCTCTTATATATCTGCCCTCATGATACATGTTCAGGCCAAGTGCATCTGAAGAAGCATTGAAAAATCTCTGTACCAATTTCCAACCAACAGGGCTTATGGCACTTTCTGATGATGGCGCATTGCCAATTCCTGCTATGCTACCATCAGGACTCATTCCTGGGATAATGACTGCTCTCACAGGGCAAAATTTATCCCTTGTCTGCATTCTATTGACAAGCTGAACTTCCTCTGGTTAAAGATACTTTCAGAATTCATATTGCTCAGTAGTAGTATCTCTGAACACATCCTTGGGTCATGACCCAATTGTATAAGCCAGTAGTTGAGACATCTACTTCTGGCTCAGCCTGTCAGCTTCTTTACTTTAAAACCAATAGCCATATGGAATGAATTGGTGATAATAATAGTTAATATTTACCAAGTACTTATCTTGCAACAAGTATTTTGCATATATTAACTCATTGATCTGCACAAGACCAGAAGTGGTAGATGCTATGGTGGCCCATTCACTTTTCAAATGAGGACCTGAGAAACACAGAGGTTAAGAAAGTTGCTCAAGGTTTCACCTTCATGAGTAAAATTGCTGAGAGAGGAGCCTCAGAGTCTGCAGACTTAATCACTTCCCTGAGATTATGTCACTGCTGAACATCACACGGATGACAGCATGGGTTTATCCTACTCACCATTTGGGGATTGGCTTACTGCTTACTATACTCTTTCCACTGGAATTCATCCTTGTATTGTAATGATAGCTTTTACTCACATCCCTTGCCCAAACCACGTCAGACTACCCTAGCAGAAGGCTAAAAAGATCCTGTGAGAGCCACTGGCTATTCAAGAAGTTCTTAAAAACTCCCTTTGGCATGCCAGAGAGCAATATAAAGCCTACGGCAACAGGCACCAGGTCTCAGGAGAGAAAATCCGACAGTGAGACACCATCTGTTTCTGCTCCTATCTACACGGACCATCTGCTCTTGCTCAAAATACTGCATGACTGCTACAAAGGGTCATTTAAGGTCAGAGGAATCATCAACTCTTCAACTGTGTCTATCCGTGTGCCCACCTTGTCTTCTGCTACTGCCCGCAATGCCTGGCTTCTCATAGCCCCACACTTCACTGCCTAGGCCTGCGTCCAAACTTGGCACCTTGGTGGAAAATAAGAATACATGGCAGGGGGTGGGGATACTGGATTCTCAGTAGTATGAAGGCTGACTCAAGCAGCAGGTGAATTTGGAAGTGCTGACCTGAAAATTAGTCTAAGAAACCTTTCTCCAACAATGTGAAGATGGGGTCAAAAACTTGGGTTTCCTGTTTAGAGGAAGAGGCAATAATGTGAACAGGATAGGATTATGTTTATCCCACCCCTAGCCATATAGACCTAACCCTTACCAATCACAATCACACTGGCCCACAAAAGGTAACCTCAACACTTAGCTAAAATTCCAAACAATTCACCAGAAACTCCTTGTCCCACACATCCACTCTCCTCACTTATTTGTTCCTGGCCTCTTTTTTTTTTAAGATTTGTTTACTTATTTGAAAGGCAGAGTTACAGAGAGGCAGAGGCAGAAAGAGAGAGAGAGTCTTCCATTCTCTGGTTTTCTTTCCAGGTGGCTGCAGCAGCCGGATCTGCGTCAATCCGAAGCCGGGAGCCAGGAGCTTCCTCTCTGTCTCTGATATGGGTGCAGGGGCCCGAGGATTTGAGCCATTCTCCACTGCTTCCCAGGCCATAGCAGAGAGCTGAATGAGAAGTGGAGCAGCTGGGACTTGAACTGGCGCTCATATGGAATGCCAGCACAGCAGGAGGTGGCTTTACCCACTATGCCACAGTGCTGGCCCCCTGCGCTCTTTCAATTGTCAGCTTTTCTGATGTCTGTCTTTGTAGATCTGCAATCCAGTACCAGACACAGCCTCTGGCCCTGCCAGGATAAGAGGCCCTGTGAGTTGGGTTCCTTAGAAGCCCATACTGAAGCAGAGTGTCTGCAGGATCACTACCCATGAAAGGCAAAGGGCAGAAAGAGAAAAGATTGGGCTAAAGGGAACACTAAGGGCCCAGCAAAACCTTTGCCAGCTCCCAGTTGTGGTGGGAGTGCTTGCTCTTCAGAATTACTCTTGTTGGGTTTATCTCAGTCTGCAGATGCAGGCTACCAGGGGAAGGTTGTAAGCTCTCTACAGCTGAGGCAATACTACAAGAGCTACAGCCTGGAAGACCAGGGCCAATTGCCCACTCTATGTCTCAGCAGTAAGTCCTTCCTAGAAAAGGAATCTTAGGAACATATCTCAAAGTCAACCACAGTGCTCTTGGTGTTGGTGAGCCAGCAAGGACTGGAGTGGGATTCTCACTCAGCTTCTTGCCCAGCACCATCTCACACTGAATCCAAGGAAGCCCTTGCTCTGGGGCAGGCGCTATGGCATAGTTCTAAGCCTCTGCCTATGGCACTAGCATCCCCTATGGGCACCAGTTCAAGTCTTGGCAGCTCCACTTCTGATCCAGCTCCCTGTTAATGTGCCTGGGAAAACGGCAGAGGATGGCCCAAGTGTTTGGGCCCCTGCACCCACGTGGGAGACTGGGAAGAAGCTCCTGGCTCCTGGCTTCAGATCAGCGCAGCTCCAGTTGTTGCTTCCATCTGGGGAGTAAACCAGCGGATAGAAGATCTTTGTTTCTCCCTCTCTTTGTCTGTAACTCTTTCTCTCAAATAAGTAAATAAATCTTTAAAGAGAAAAAAAAGACTCTGCTCTTGGTCCTGGCTTAGAGGATCCTGCATCTGAACAGGGGAGTCAGACCTGAAGAGAATGCACTCTTCCATAATGAGTCCTAGTTTGCATTCAGAAATCCATTTTCTGAGCCATTAGCAGGGGCTCCTGAGATGGGTTGTAGCTTCCTGTGTGTTCTCATTTCTCTCATCTTCACTTAGGTTTTTCTTCATACTCACGTCCTTAAAAAAAAAAAAAATCAATGTGCCTTTCCCTCTCTCCAAAGCCTTCCTCAGTCCTTCAGTTCTGTCACCTTAGCTGGATGCCGTTTTTTTGTTGTTGTTGTTTTGTTTGTTTGTTTGTTTGTTTGCTTAGTTCTGAAATGATCCTTTCTTCAAAATTGTTTCACTGTATCTCAAACTTTCCTACCAAAGAATTTCTGACTTCAGAGAAGGAGAACGAGTACTCCTGGGGGTTCTAAAAGGATAGCTCAGAGCTGCTTTCTCTAGGTACAGAATTTCTTTGAAGTCTCCGCATTTTATCTTTAAAATTCATATGAATTTTGCATCCTACTTTATAAACTATATGTGCTAGTTTTAATATTAAAATGCTGTTTTGAATTACTTACTAGTGAATAAATTTATTCAGGAAGATGTACCAATTTATGCATGGTTTCATGTGCCTTCTGAAATAACCTTGCATATATCAGCTTTAAATTTCTAGAACCAGGAGGTCATACTTCTAAAACTTGCACATAAATATCACACGGAATCTTAGAATAAGAACTTAGATTGTTTTTAATATCAACTTACATGCACTGAATTACATTTTCACAATACTCTATATTTTAATGTGTATTCAGAGCAAAATTACAAATGAAAAAGATCAACATATTTCTTCTAGGATAGAGGGGGAATTTTCCATCAAATAAAAAATTAGATGCTCAATTCAACTAAATATCAATATATAATCTTGTCAGATTATTCTATATGAACTGGAAACATCATTTAAACAAAATCCATTAAAGATATTTATATGAGGAAATAAACACCATCTATTTTAAGGCTCAAGTTCTTTGATGGCCTGACTTAAAATATAATTTATAGATCCAGTTTCTGCATGAATACTTAAAATAACTGCTACATTTGCAATGCTTGATAAACTACCAAATAGAAATATCAGATAGAAAGTTGTAAGCAAATACTATGGAAGTTGGGGCTGGCGCTGTGGCACAATAAGCTAATCCTCCACTTGCAGCACCATCATCCAATATGGGCACCAGTTCCAGTCCCTGCTGCTCCTCTGCTGAGGCCTGGGAAAGCAGCGAAAGTTGGCCCAAATGCTTGGGCCCCTGTACTCACCTGGGAGACCCAGACGCGGCTTCTGGCTTCAGATAGCTCAACTCCTGCCTTTGTGGCCGTTTGGGAAGTGAACCAGTGGATGGAAGTCCTTTCTCTGTCTCTCCCTCTCACAATCTATAACTCCACCTCTCAAAAAATAAGTAAAATCTAAAAAAAAAAAAAAAAAAACAGCTATACACTCATTTAAAAAAAGACTACAGAAGACTCAGCTTGAGGTTTAAATTTGAGAATCAGGGGCATTAAGCTGATACTTAAAGGACTGGGAAGGGATAAGATCGCCTAAATGATATAGAAGAATGGGAAAGGATCCTGAAAAATAGCAACAGCTAAGGACTAGATAGAACAGATAAAACAGTAAATGACACATCTACAGAGATGCCAAAGATTGCAGTAAAAGTATAAGAGTTAATATTATCTCAAAAAAAAATCAGATCAGATATTTGAGATAGAAGGAAGTGAATCAACACCATTGAGTGTTCTTTCGAGAGCTAATGGGGAAAGGTAGAAAATCTTCATAGTTTATTACCTTAGAAGAGTGCATTTGTATCTCAGTAAGAGTGAGTTCAGGAGAGAACAGGTACTACAAAACACTGGTGCTCCCTGAGAAGCGAACAGCAAGGGAGGAAACACAGAGAACAAAGGCTGGAATGCACAGGAATTATCTATGAACAATGAAGGCAGACTGGTCTGTTCAGTGTCTACAGAAGTGTTGTTCAGCAGCAGGTGACAGAACCAGGTAGGCAAGAATGATTCCAGACTGTGTGAGTATGTGACGACGGCACAGCTGAGGAGTCACTATAAATAATAGTAATCATCAACACACAGCTGCAATTATTTACAAATAACTCTTCTGCTATTTTCTAGACTTTTGACTGTGGGCAAATTACTTACCTTCCCTATGCCTGTTTTCTCAACTATAAATTAGGAGTGGTAATGAAATCTACCTCAAAGGATTGCAATGAGTTTGTATATTAGTGCCTAGCTTACATTCAATATTTATTAACCAGGATTTTTAAATTTTGTATAATAGATAACTTTATATAATTATGCATTTTATAATACATATGATACTATATATGCTATTATAATAATCACATGTATTGTGTTAGTAGTATATATATTTAACATATTCATGATATTTTTTTTAACTTTTATTTAATGAATATAAATTTCCAAAGTACAGCTTATGGATTACAATGGCTTCCCCCCTATAACGTCCCTCCTACCCGCAACCCTCCCCTTTCTCACTCCCTCTCCCCTTCCATTCACATCAAGATTCATTTTCAATTCTCTTTATATACAGAAGATCAGTTTAGCATACATTAAGTAAAGATTTCAACAGTTTGCTCCCACACAGAAACATAAAGTGAAAAATACTGTTTGAGTACTAGTTATAGCATTAAATCTCAGACAGAGATTTAAGGACACTAAGGACAGAGATCCTACATGAGGAGTAAGTGCACAGTGACTCCTGTTGTTGACTTAGCAAATTGACACTCTTGTTTATGGCATCAATAATCAACCTAGGCTCTTGTCATGAGTTGCCAAGGCTATGGGAGCCCCCTGAGTTCACCGACTCTGATCATATTTAGACAAGGCCATGGTCAAAGTGGAAGTTCTTTCCTCCCTTCAGAGAAAGGTACCTCCTTCTTTGATGACCCGTTCTTTCCACTGGGATCTCACTCGCAGAGATCTTTCATTTAGGTTGGTTTATTTATTTTTTTTTCCCCACAGAGTTTCTTGGCTTTCCAAGCCTGAAATACTCTCATGGGCTTTTCAGCCAGATTCGCATGCCTTAAGGGCTGATTCTGAGGCCAGAGTGCTATTTAGGAAATCTGCCATTCTATGGGTCTGCTGTGTATCTCACTTCCCATGTTGGATTTTTCTCTCCCTTTTTTATTCTATCAGCTAGTATTTGCAGACACTATTCTTGTTTATGTGATCCCTTTGACTCTTAGTCCTATCATTATGATCAATTGTGAACAGAAATTGATCACTGGGACTAGTGAGATGGCATTGGTACATGCCACCTTGAGGGGATTGAATTGGAATCCCCTGGTATGTTTCTAACTCTACCGTTTGAGGTAAGTCAGCTTGAGCATGTCCCGAATTGCACATCTCTTCCTTCTCTTATTCCCACTCTTATATTTAACAGGGATCACTTTTCAGTTAAGTTTCAGCACTTAAGAAGAATTGTGTATTGATTACAGTATTCAACCAAAAGTATTAAGTAGAACAAACAAAAAAAAATACTAAGAGAGATAACATATTAAGTTGTTCATCAACAGTCAGGGCGAGGGCTGATCAAGTCACCATTTCTCATAGTGTTCATTTCACTTTAACAGGTTTCCTTTTTGGTGCTCAGTGAGTTGTCACCTATCAGGGAGAACATGTGGTATTTGTCCCTTTGGGATTGGCTTATTTCACTCAGCATAATGTTTTCCAAATTCCTAACAGGGATCACTTTTCAGTTAAAATTTAAACACCTAAGAATAATTGTGTGTTAATTACAGAGTTCAACCAATGGTACTAGAACAAGAAAAATACTAACATGGATAAAGTATTACATTGTACATCAACCATCAGGACAAGAGCTGATCAAGTCACTGTTTCTCATAGTGTCCATTTCACTTCAACAAGTTTCCCCTTTGGTGCTCAGTTTTGAAGAGTATTGCATTGTTTTAAATTATAGCTATTGGAAATTTATCCTTAGTTAGGGAAGAATATTTGAGAGAGGTTTAAATACATCAGTTTCCTTATTTTCCCTTCTCTTCAGCCCATCAGCTCTGCTTTCTGTTTGTAGGAATTTGCCTAATTACTAGGTAAAATAAGCAAAAGTTATTTTTGGAGATCCCTTCCACTACCTCTTTACAATCCATATATTCTAAAGTTCTAGAAACAGTGATAAGAGTTTCACAGTAATGTAAGTTTACTTAATGCCACTGAATTGTACACTTAAAAATAATAAAGATATTAAATGTTATGTGTTATACAAGTATAACTACAATAAAACAATATTTAGCTGGAAAAAAGTTGCTTTTTTTGACATCCAAAAGTTGTGATTGTATAATGTATCCGACTTGATGAAGTTGGAGGTTAAATAGACACTTGTGAAACCATCACTATCATCGAGGCCATAAACCTATCTGTCACCTGCAGAAGCTTCCACCTGCAGAAGCTTCCACCTGCCTTTTTGTTGTTATTGATAGGATGACAATGACAAAAACACTTACTATAGATAGAAAAATGCTAAGTATATACTACAACATTATTAAATCAAAGCACTATGTTGCAGAGTAGATGTCCAGGGTTTATTCATTTCGTATCACTGAAACTTTGTGTCCTTTGACTAATCCCTGTGTTTCTCCTCTCCCTACCGCTGGAAATCAGCATTTCCTTCTCTGATTCTGGAAGTCTGACTATTTTGGATTCATAATATAAGCTGTATCATGTAGCACTTCTTCTTCTGGGCCTGGCCTACTTCACTTAGCATAAGGTCCTGCAGGTTCATCCATGTTGTCACAAATGGTAGGATCTCCTTCTAAAAGATGTTGGTTTTAACCTTGCTGTTTCTGACAATGCCAGGTTACCTTAAGGAAGTCATTTAAAACTCTTTGAAAGTCATTTTACTCTCAAACAAGATGAAGTTACACTGTTACTTGGTTTCATTTAACCTCCATGTTCTATAATTGTAATTTTCATACAACTTATAGAATATAAGTGAAATAATAGTACAGAAAAGACTAAGTATTTCAAGAATATACTCCATTTATTTATTAAATACTAATTTGTTTATTTACTTGAAAGGGGGAGGTGGAGAGAGAGAGGGAGAGAGAGTGTTCTTCCACTGGTTCACTCCCTAAATGCCTGCAACAGCTGGGACTAGGCCAGACCTAAGCATGCAGCCAAGAACTTAACCTAGGTTTCCCATGTGGGTGACAAAGACCCAGGTACTTGAGGCCTCACTTGCTGCCTCTAAGCATGTACATTAGCAAGAACCTGGAAGTGGAAATGGAGTTGGGATTCAAACCTAGGCACTCTGATATGGGAGGTGGGGAATCATAACTTGTGGCTAAACAAATTGTTGCATGCCCCCATCATCTCCAATGATGTTTTCATGTAAAATGTAAATATATTTATATATTTGGCTTATTTAATCTCACAAATAAAATTATGTCATAATTGTTTATAGGCATAGAGCTTGTTACATACAGCTACAAATACAGCATCTACTAGCTAACACAGCTTTATAAAGTTAAGCTAAGTAAATTTAAACATAAAAGTTGAGTTCCTTAGTTATGTTGGTTACATTTTAAGTATTCAGTAAACACATGGAAGATACAGAACCTTTATATCTTTATAGAAAGTTACATTTTTTAATACTGATTTTGTGTTTTTTTCTGTTCTTTATAAATTTTGGACATTTTCCACAGGTATTTCTTTCCTGAGCTTCATCTTTGAAATAGTATCAGTAAATGATCAAACCTGGAACAGCTAGACTGTGCTCTGAGAAAACAGACCATCACTAGGTTGTCATGTCTTCTTACTCTTTCAGAAGCACACCTAAACAGTGTATGTTTCGACTGAATTATTCTATGGTATTTCTTCAAGAAATGATATTTAATTTAAAGCAGTTTTTCAATGACTTCTATTTCTTTTCATTTAATTGCATCTATAAAGCATCACATAAAATCATGAAATTCTATAACAGAAATCAGAAGCTGAAGAAGTACTGCTGTCATCCCGTGTGCACTTGGAAGTAGACTTGGTAAGCACAGGGATAAAACATAATCTCATTTATTTTATGATAGGACAGAAGCCAGTCACAGCTTAATTAATTCAAAGTTGTTTTCATTTGGATTGGATAGGACAGATCTGTTAATAGAAACAATGTATAAATAAAGAAGATCCAGAAAAGGATGTTGAATATTGGTAGAGGGACAGGCTGACAAGAACTAAGGACAGTAAAAAATCATCTTTGCATGAGAGACAGAAACTGGCTGCAGACAGATGCTTATAAGACCCTAGCTTTGTTGAAGAGGACAGCTTTATAAATAGATGCATAATAACAGCAGCCAGCTGTTCAAAATAATTGCCAGGCGATATTTGGTGATGACAACCTGAAGAAAGTCATCAATGCAATTATTTCACACCAGATCAGTCCACTGGATCTGTTGAACCCTCTTTCCTGTTTTTTTCTGATTGAAACACTCATTATTCCTGAAGTGTCAATGTTACTCACTCATTTTTTCTATAATAAACAATGACTTCAACAATAATTATATTGTTGTAATGATAATAGTAATTTGATCAGGAACAATTAACTCATTGGGTTAAAGTTTCATACATGTGAGGCTAAGGTTCAACATTCTTATGTCTCATGAGAAATGCCCAGTCCCAACACAAAGGACTGCATTGTTAACACTAGTAACTCATTTCAGAAAAGCACATTGGTTATTTGTTAGGGCATTTTTATGAATGCCCTAACTTGCTTGTTTCAAGAATATACTTAATTTATAAAATACTTTATATGGTTCTATACAAAAGTGTAGTTCTATAACCTCAATTAGTGGTTATCCAAATGAATTTATCCATTTGTTCAACTACTACTGCTCATTATTGTTCATTTATT